TCTCCTTGTGTTCAGAACCTACTGATCAATTATACTATGGTATACATCTTCTAGTAATAAAAGACCAAGGAGCTAGACACAAGGAAGTATACTTATTTACCTAATTTATACACCACCCTCTCTCCCATTTCAACTTCAGCTTTGTTGGCAAATACATGTGAAGGAAATTCTAAAGATGACAAATATTTCTATCTTAACAAATGTATCAAAGTTTTCCTTAATTAAAAAAAATATTTTTATTGATTTTAGAGAGAGAGGAAGGGAGAGGGAAAAGAGATAGAAACATCAATCAGCTGCCTCCTGCACATCCCCTACTGGGGATTGAGCCCGCACCCTGGGCATGTGCCCTGATCGGGAATTGAACAGGTGACCTCTTAGTGCATGGGTCGACACTCAACCACAGAGCCACACTGGTTGAGCACAAATGTATCAAAGTTTTAATGCTGAAATTAATATGCCATGATGAAAAGAGAGATTCTACCATCTTCACAAATGGTTTGAAAAACACAAAAACTCACCAAATCACAAAACCTTTGACATGTTGGCCAACACAATGTTGTCATCTAAACATACTATCTATATTTCCCAGTGGTTCTCAACCTTCCTAATGCCGCGACCCTTTAATACAGTTCCTCATGTTGTGGTGACCCCCAACCATAAAATTATTTTCGTTGCTACTTCATAACTGTAATTTTGCTACTGTTATGAATCGTAATGTAAATATCTGATATGCTATATGTGTTTTCCGATGGTCGCGACCCACAGGTTGAGAACTGCTGCATTAGGGTCTTTAGAAACTCTGACCCAGTGCAGTCATGTTTCATAGACAAGGATCATGTCTATAACAATAAAATGGTTGGGCATGGAAACTAGGAAAACAGACAACAAAGTAGGTCAACATTAAAAGCAAGCAAGAAAAAAAAAAGTAGTGTTTTATAATCCAAATTATACTGTTCAATAGTTAACTATGCAAATTCTCCACCTTGAAATTGAGAAGTAAAACTGAAGGGGGGCTAGAAGACTGTGTAAAAGAAATCAAGCTGTAAGTGCTTGAACTGAATGAAGTAAGCTATAGAGATGAGAACAAGTATGAAATATTAAAACTCTGTCTTCTGGTCTAATAAACAGTTATTATTGAGAATGGTCTAGAGTTAGTATCATTCTAGACCAGTGGTCGGCAAACTGTGGCCCCTTGAGTGTGGCTCTTCCACAAAATACCACGTGCGGGCACACACGTACAGTGCGATTGAAACTTCGTGGCCACACTCAAGGGGCCAAAGAGCCGCATATGGCTTGCAAGCCGCAGTTTGCCGTCCACTGTTCTGGACCAGTGGTCGGCAAACTCATTAGTCAATAGAGCCAAATATCAACAGTACAACGATTGAAATTTCTTTTGAGAGCCAAATTTTTTAAACTTAAACTATATAGGTAGGTACATTGTTATTAACTTAATCAGGGTACTCCTAAGGCTTAGGAAGAGCCACACTCAAGGGGCCAAAGAGCCGCATGTGGCTTGCGAGCCGCAGTTTGCCGACCACGGTTCTAGACCATTAGTCATTGTTTTTAAAAATTCACATTAATATCTTAACTGATTCTGGTGCAGAATATTTTAAAGAATGAAAAACAACAGTTTTTAAGCTCCTTTTAAAAAATTATAATATCAAAACCTTGAATTATGGCAAAAGTTGAACTCTAAAATCTAATTAAGGCTTGAGGGTTGGCCCAAATTATGTTCCAAAGGTTTACTTACTTGTACATCCTTATTTGAAACTAAGCATGAAAATAGTTCTCCAAAATGAAGGTGCCCAGCCAACCCACAATAACATCTATTTAACTTAAAGAACTAGCAAACCTAGATATCAAGAACACACCTATGGAATGCTCAAATGGACTATATCTCCACTCCATGCAATGGGAGTGGAAAGTCTTCCACCTGCAAACCACTGGAGGAAATTACTATAGCCCAAAACAGATACGAGGAGATAGCATCAAAGAATAAAGGACAAGAAAGATGCTACTGCCTTGGGTATTTAACTTAAAGAACTAGCAAACCTAGATATCAAGAACACACCTATGGAATGCTCAAATGGACTATATCTCCACTCCATGCAATGGGAGTGGAAAGTCTTCCACCTGCAAACCACTGGAGGAAATTACTATAGCCCAAAACAGATACGAGGAGATAGCATCAAAGAATAAAGGACAAGAAAGATGCTACTGCCTTGCTAGGTCCAGCTAGTAAGAATTAGCAATCATTTTTCTCAGGACTCAGGAACTGATATTGCCTGCTTTACTCACTTCTTATATTTGACTAGGTTTTTTTCACCCCTCTCTGGCTTATAGTAAAGTCTGAAATTACAAAGTTTATTTATAGGTTTTAAATACCAACTTACTATGCTTTCCTACACTTTCCACATCGTCTATAAAGAATATAACTAGTAAAAGAACTAATATTAAAATTGAAATGTCTGTCCACAGAGTGCAAAAGCATGTGATAAGCAATATATTTTTAAAAGTTAAAATCAATATATAAAATAACTGAAAAGGAGGAAAAGAAGAAAAAGTTATGCATATAAAGTTATTAAACCTAACAGAATTTATAACAGTGAGAAATGAAAAGCAAGTCAAACTTCAATAGTAAGTGAATGGTTATGGTTCATTAACTTGATGAAGTATTATGAAAGAGTTATAAAGACAGACTATGTAATAATATGAAGATTATGCAAAAATAGTGGAAAAAATAAAAAAAGGTATTATAATTACATGTAAATATGAAATGCAAAGATAGATTGCGAAATAGAAAAATAATTGTTAAAATAACAGTATTACCTTTGTATTTAATTAAGATATGTATTTATCTGAGCCATTATTAAATCTAATATTTTAAATGTAAAATATTAAATTCAAATCTATCTGTTTATTTAATGCAAATCTTCTCAAGAACTCTAATTACAAACACTACATAGTTCCAGAAGACTATACAAATAAAACATTTGAAAATCTATGTATATAAAAGCCTAAGCGACTGAACAACTGCCTGACCATGCAACCGGCAGCTATGACGTGCACTGACCACCAGGGGGAAGATGCTCAACACATGGATTCATGCACCTGCGGGGGTCAATCCGACATCCCCTGAGAAGTCCCGGATTGCGCAGGCCAGGTTGAGGGACCCCACCAGTGCACGTGCACCAGGCCTCCAGTATTTCATAATAGATTTCTAACTCAAATCAATCAAAATCAGTAAGATTACGCTATACACTAGAATACATTTAACAGTTTATCTTTTTCCTATTTAATATTTTCAGAAAAACTCTCAACAAACAGGCTGAGAAAGTGACTTGTTGCAGAAAAATGGAAGAGAGAATTCAGGTAAGAATTTGGAGGATAAGAATATTACATATCTTTATAGTATCTAAGCTTTTATGTTCGACCCTATTTCTTTTTTTTCCTACTCTATTACTTTATTTCAAGTGGTGAAATATGACAATTCTTAATTTTTATAGATGTCCCAAAACAACTTTAAAAAAGGAAAAAGATATAGAAAGAAGGCAGAAGATTGAGATCTATTTAACATGTCTCTCTGTCATAATCCTATATAATAAAAGGATAATATGCAAATCGACTGAACGATGGAATGACCGGTAGCTATGATGCGCACTGACCACCAGAGGTCAGACACTAGAACAGCAGGAGCTGTCCCCTGGTGGTCAGTGCACTCCCACAGGGGGAGCACCACTCAGCCAGAAGCCAGGCTCACGGCTGGCAAGCACAGCAGTGCTGGCAGGAGCCTTTCCTGCCTCCGCGGCAGCGCTAAGAATGTCCAACTGTGGGGAGCAGGCCTAAGCCGTCAGCTGGTCATCCCCCGAGGGCTCCCAGACTGTCAGAGGGTGCAGGCCTGGTTGAGGGAGTGCACGAATGTCATGCACCAGGCCTCTAATTCTCAAATAAATATTAGTAAGTACACCTCAGAAATTCTAACTGATGGGGAAGATCCTAATTAATAATAATGAATGCTAGTGTTATTATAATATTTAGTATTAGTAGAAATAGTAGTAAATGGCATAATTATACTATACATTTACTTTAGTCAATAATTATTTTCCAATAATCTCAGGTATCTATTTGGGAATGTCTGTTATTAGAAATAGTTTAAAAGACAATACCTGCATAGTTTTTTCCAAATAACTAAAACTAATAAATTTGACTCATTATAACATGTCTCATACATTTTTAAGAAATATATAAGGGAATTTTTGTGAGAAACCAGAAAGCAGTTTAAAGAACCCTTACAAAATAAAAATGAATCAAAGCACACATTTCAGCAAGAAGCATAAACCTTTAGGTGGGATATGATTTACAATTCCCACAGTTGTAAGGAATATTACACACATAAATCTGCCATCTAATTTAAAACTTTGAAAAGCCAAACTGAAAAATACTAAAAGAACAGAAAAATAATAGAATACTTTAATAATGTTAGAAAGATTATAGCTTTATTTTTAAAGTCAAATTAGAGAAACAAGAAATCACTCAAAGTGATTTGACAGGTTATTCTATTCTGTAAACATATCACTGAATTTATAATATGTCTAATAAAGGGCAGTTTAAAAAGTGTAAGGATGTCAATTGGGACTGGGGTGAGAAGAAAAAACTAAGTTATTTTTAAATATTGTTATTAAATGCAATAAAACTACAGTGGGGCCTTGACTTACGAGTTTAATTGGTTCCGAGACCGAGCTCGTTAAGGAGCTCGTTAACTCAAATTACTCTGTCAACTCAATGCAAAAAATCGGCCAAGAGACAGCTGGTATCTCAAAAAACTCGTTAGTCGGGACACTCGTAAGTCAAGGCCCCATTGTAGAACAAATAGCCAAGTGTTTTTTAAAGTTATTTTATATAAAGCATGCAAACTATTGAACTTTATTAGCTTTTTCTAAATGTTAAAAAGAAATAAATGAGAATTAAAACAAAAATATTTGAAATTAAAAATATCTTACTAAATCAGCCCCTGCTTGAAGTAAAACATCTGCAACATCTGTATGTCCATTTTCACAAGCATAGGTTAAGGCTGTGTCTCCTGTTGCTGTTGTAGCATGAACATTAGCACCTAGCAAACAAAAAACAATCATAAATTTACTTTGTGAATTATACATTATATTAAATAGTTTAATTTTGCAATTTGGTGAAACTGATAAACTTGAAGTATGAAGCCTCGCCAGTATGGCACAGGGGTTGGGCATTGACACATGAACCAGGAGGTCACAGTTCGATTCCTGGTAGGGCACATGCCCAGATTTTGGGCTCAATTCCTAGGAGGAGGCATGTAGGAGGCAGCCGATCAATGATTCTCTCTCATCATTGATATTTCTATCTCTTTTTCCCTCTCTTTTCCTCTCTGAAATCAATAAAAACATATTTTTAAAAATTAAATTTGATATGGGTACTATTATGATAGCTTTTACTATGATGGCTTTTACTTCACAATAGTCCTTAATGTTAAAAACAAAACAGAACAAAAAAACAACAAAAAACCTGATGAAACTATTGGTATGAATTTTAAATATCCTAATTTTCCTTTAAATATACTTTGCAAAAATGCTTTTAGTCACACAGAAACTATACCAAATGATTTTAAAGCACAGTAAAATCTGCCTTCACATCCTCATAAGAGATACCCTAAGAAATGAAAGAGCTACAAAAACAAAAAAATATCAGTTTTCAGAAATCATAAATTGTGGTAGTGTTGGATTGTATTCTGAGACAGTTCTATAGATATTGTGATAAAAATAAAATGAGTAATCCTTTGGTAAGAAGTGAAATTTTTTGGCATTAAGAGAAAACACAGATATGACATTGCTGAGGTTAGTATTAGAAGTATTGACATGAACTCATGACGTATTTTATCTATAAGAAAAATAAATATTTCCTAAATCTGACCAACTATAAAGACCAGAGACAATGATAGACCAAGCAGAAACAGCACCTTTAACTTAGATTGTGGTCTCTAAGTATCATTTCCTACTAAGTGGAATGAGTGCTTCTTAGAAAAAATGATTGGTTCCAAGACTGGGGCAAAAGCTGCAAAGATGAGCATATCAGAAAGCAAAGAAACCTCACACTAGCTGGTTTGGCTCAGTGGATAGAACAGTGGTTCTCAACCTTCCTAATGCCGCGACCCTTTAATACAGTTCCTCATGTTGTGGTGACCCCCAACCATAAAATTATTTTCATTGCTACTTCATAACTGTAATTTTGCTACTGTTATGAATTGTAATATCTGATATGCAGGATGTATTTTCATTGTTACAAATTGAACATAATTAAAGCATAGTGATTAATCACAAAAACAATATGTAATTATATATGTGTTTTCCGATGGTCTTAGGCAACCCCTGTGAAAGGGTCGTTTGACCCCCAAAGGGGTCGCGACCCACAGGTTGAGAACTGCTGGGATAGAGTGTCGGCCTGCAGACTGAAAGGCCCCAGGTTCAATTCCAGTCGAGGGCATGTACCTGGGTTGCAGGTTTGATCCCGTGTGTGCTGAGGCAACCACACTGATGTGTCTCTCTCACAGCAATCTTTCTCTCTGTCTCTCCCTCTCCTTTCCACTCTCAAAAAATCAATGAAAAAATGTCCTTGGGTGAGGATGAACAACAAAAAAGCAAAGAAACCTCAAAGACTATAATGAGATCATATCAAAAGAATTTAGGAGATAATCTTATTGACCAAAGATAGTCAAATTGCCAGTACCTTGTGACAATTTTTACATTAAAAACAAAAATGAGGACTGTGGTGAGGTAAAAGCCATCATAGATGTTTAAATCCAAAAGTTCAAAATAATGTCCATATCAAAACATAAAAACACTTGTCCAGCAGGAGTGGCTCAGTTGGTTTAGCGTCATCCTGTACACCAAAAGGTTGGTGATTCGATTCCTGGCCAGGGCACATACCTGGGGTGTGGGTTTGATCCCTAGTTGGACACATACGGAAAGCAACCGATCAATGTTTCTGTCTCACATTGATGTTTCTCTTTCTCTCTCTTCCTCCCTCTTTGTTTTCCTCTCTCTATGCATGTCCTGGGGTGAGGACTAAATAAGTAAACAAACAAACAAATAAATAAATAAAATACTTTATTGGTCATTACTGAAGGATGCTAGAGGACCACCTCATTATTTTGGAAATGTTAACCCTATATAATAAAAGCCCAGCGACCCGAATGGCTGAACAAGTAGAATGACCGGTCAACCAGCTGCTATGATGCGCACTGACCACCAGGGGGCAGACGCTCAACGCAGGAGCTGCCCCCTGGTGGTCAGTGTGCTACCACAGTGGGAGCAACGCTCGGCTGACCGGGATGAGTGGCTGCTCCCGCTGCAAACCCCGGGCCGATGGGCAGGAACCCAGGCTGCGATCGTCACCTCCTCGCCCCAGGCTCCTCCTCCTCACTCCCTGCCGCCTTCTCTGGATGCCCACAGGCTGCGTAGCACTGCTGAAGCCGCTAGGCTCGCAGAACTGACCCCAGAGGCTGGGAGGCGGGTTTGTGGCCACCATGGGACTGAGGCCTACCCGGCTGCCTCTCAGTGCTATTGTCCCCAGGCCTGGCCCCAACCAGGTCCTCTTGAGAGGCGAGTGCTCCGGCTCCATGGAAGATGCTGGACCAGGGAGCAGCCTCTCAGAGGGCAGGTCCACAGCCGCTCAGCTGACCAGGATGAGCGGCACTCCCACAGCGGGCCCATCCCCGCAGGCCATGCCCCCCACCAGTGCACAAATCCTGTGCACCGGGCCTCTAGTAAAGGGTGAAAAAACCCTGGCCAGATGGCTGGGTTGGTTGGAGCATCTGGTTGGATCATGTCCCGGTGCACCAATGGGTTGAGGGTTCAATTCTGGTCAGGGGATGTGCCTGGGTTGCAGGTTCGATCCCCAGTTGGGTGCATGTGGTAGAGAGCCGATGATGTTTCTCTCTCTCCCTTTCTCTCTCTAGAATTAGTGTAACATGTCCTCAGGTGAGGATTAAAAAAGAGAAAGACCTTTGTGGGAACTTAAAAAAAAAAAATCAAACATTTATACTGCTATTCATATATTATTTACACCTAAGAGTAATCAAATAGTTCATGAGGGGAAGTTTCTCTTTATAGACATAGTCTAGCTAATAAACAAGAAAAGAAGAAACAGTCGACTTTACAATATTTGTAAAGTATCCAACCGGCAACCTTTTGGTGCACAGAATGATGCCCAACCAACTTCACCACATTGCAACCCTACTGAATTAATGGATCTAAGCAATGATCATCAATGGCTGATAATATTACAAAAAGAGACATCAAACATTTATTATCTCCTTAAGATAATAAATACTATAAATAACAAATACTACCTATAAAATAGTCTAGTAAACACACACACACACACACACACACACACATCTAATTCAGTCAAGTTTTAGATCTAACCGGTTTCGGCTCTAACTATTACTTTATAGGAAATCCAAGTGACAGAAAAACAAATTAAATGAAATGGAAATGTAATTAACAAAATCTGTACTATAGAGAGCCTAAAACATAAGCATTACTTTTTAAAAAAATATATACTTTTATTGATTTCAGAGAGGAAGGAAGAGAGAGACAGAAACTTCAATGATGAAAGAGAGAATCATTGATCAGCTGCCTCCTCCATGCCCCCCACTGGGGATCGAGCCTGCAACCCGGGCATGTGCCCCTGACCAGAATCAAACCAGGGATCGAACCCGGGACCCTTCAGTCTGCAGGCCCATGCTCTATCCACTGAGCCAAACTGGCTAGGACAACATTCCATTTCTTTAACCAAAACTTAGAAGGAATAAGAAAATTAAGATGGAAGGGGAGCCCATATATTAAGAGAGATTTAAGAGACACATTTACCAATAGTTATTATATGAATCTTCTTTGAATACTGATTCACAAAAGGCATTATACAAACATACACATTTATAGGACTATTAGGAAATTATGAAAACTCCTTGGATATATTTAATTATACTAAAAAATTTAGGTAGGAAATAGTATTTTTACTTTTTAAAAATATATTTTTATTGATTTTTAGAAAGAGAGGAAGGGAAAGGAAGAGAGAGAGAGAGAGAAATATCAATCTGAGAGTGAAACATCAATTGGCTGCCTCCTGCATACCTTCAACTGGGGAATGGAGCTTGCAACCTGGGCATGTGCCCCGACTAGGAATCCAACCGGCAACCTTTTGGTGCACGGAATGATGCCCAACCAACTGAGCCACACCAGCCAGGGTACACTGTTACTTTTTAAAATATTATATTTTAGAGATACATATTGAAATATTTTTTATAATTTATAAAAATAAGTTTATTTTTAAAATAATTTACTTTCAC